CTGTGCCCATAATAATGATTCGTGCCGTAAAACGTCTGCACTTTATCGATTAATTCGTAATAATACTTACCTTGACAAAGTCATTCAGCGGTTATACGATCGGCAGGGACTGCAAAAGTTTTCCAAGTTTCTTTGACGAAAAAGCAATTAGACGAAAACGCAGCCAATAGCGTTGATCAAATGCTAGACGAGGATAAAGATGACTTCAACGTATTACCCAAACCAAAACAGACGCGTGGAAATATATTCTTGACCCCGTATCAAGTTCATAGACATCTACGACTATTGTTCGAGAACGAGCCATTCATATGTGGACTTTTGTACGGAGATAACACGTCGACAAAAGGATCGTTTCAGAAACTTCAAAGCGCGAATGAATCGCGCGACCTTGCTTCATTGGCTCCAGATAAACATGCAAGTGCTGACATGTTCTTTGTCCAAGTAATATCTGTACCGCCTAATCGATTTCGTCCCACTTCGACTTTGGGCGAACAAGTATACGAGAATTCGCAAAATACAATGTTTACAAAAATCCTAAACACTTGCGAGCGGATTCGCGCATTAATGACAACAAGTGCGAAAAAACCCTCGGGAGATCTTTTGTCTACAATATCTATCGAAGATTTGCCGCAGCAGCAAATAGCTCTCTTCAATAATGAATGGTTAGAGCTGCAAAACGATGTTAATGGTTTGGTAGATTCTACTAAATCGAAACGCGTGTACGAAGCATTGCCTGGTATCAGGCAAATTTTAGAAAAAAAGGAAGGATTGATGAGGAAACATCTTATGGTAAGTTTGGGGTAATGACGGACTGGACGCAGTTTGATAGATTGACAATTTTGACGTGATTTACATATTTGATTTCATAGGGAAAACGAGTCAATTACGCTGCGAGATCGGTAATATCTCCTGATCCAAACGTAGAGACCGATGAAATAGGTGTAAGTAGTTCAATTATTCCCAAGTTTGATATGTAAAAACGACTTTTTTCACTCATCACATCAATTGCACGTGCTAGGTCCCGGAAATTATTGCAAAAAAATTGACATATCCTGAAGCCGTGACACCATTCAACGTTCGAAACCTTGCAACGGCTGTCATTAATGGTCCCCATAAATGGCCGGGAGCAACACACATTGAATTTGAAGACGGGAAGTTGCAGGGACTGGCATCCCTCTCCATCGAATCAAGAATCGCTGTTGCGAATACACTTGGCACACCGAGCATGATGCCGGCACCCTATGACAGATATCAAACAGTAACCAATACCGTCAGCAAGAAAGTATATCGACATATACGCAACGGTGATATGTTGCTCGTGAATCGGCAGCCAACTCTTCATAAACCTTCTATTATGGCACATCGTGCACGCGTTTTACCGGCCGAAAAGACAATTAGGCTGCATTATGCTAATTGGTAATTGACAGTGTCACATTTGCGTACGAAAGCGTTTGCGGTTTATTTTATTTTTTTTTTTAAACTCACATTATTATCTCTGTTATCCAAGTCAATCATACAATGCTGACTTTGATGGTGATGAGATGAATATGCATTTTCCGCAGAATGAAATTGCACGGGCCGAGGCTATGTTGGTTGGGAGTGCGGGTGAACAATATCTTTCGTCGACGTCCGGCGCACCGTTGAGAGGCTTAATCCAAGATCACGTTGTCACTGGTGTATGGCTATCATCAAAAGAGACCTTTTTTACACGGGAACAATATTACCAGATATTGTATGGTGCGCTCAGACCCGATTCAGACGGGATTGTTGCTCAACCAGTACTTACCATACCTCCTGCGATACAAAAGCCGCGATCATTATGGACCGGAAAGCAAGTGGTGGGTTTAGTGAGTTGTCTTAAGTATTATATATATACTTTTTTTTTTACTTAACGAGACTGGCATTTTCGAAACCCAGATTACGACCATCCTATATAACGTCACATATGGACACAAACAACTAAATCTTACATCACGAACGAGAATATCGGATCGGTATTGGGGCAAAGCTTCTGCGGAAGAAGCTACAGTGATTGTGAACGATGGCGAGCTGTTAACAGGTGTTTTGGACAAATCGCAGATAGGAGCATCATCCTTTGGATTGATTCACTCTTGTCATGAATTGTATGGTAGAAACATTGCCGAAAAACTGCTTGGCATATTTGGTCGTCTATTTACCGCATATACACAATGGCAAGGATTCTCCTGTCGCATGGATGATTTGCGGCTGACGCCCAAGGGCAATAAAATCAGATGCCAAAAATTGAGGGAAGGTCCCAACATTGGTAAAAAGGCTGTGTGGAAATATGTAGGAATGGAAGATGATTTTCAAAATACAGAAAATCCGAGTGTCAAAAGTGGTTTGTTATCTATTGCTAATAATGAAGACGTCGTCTTGATGCCATCAATGCAGGTTCTGATGCACTTATGTTAAACAGAATTTATTGGTCGCATGCGAGAGGTACTCCAAGATGACGACAAGCATAAGGACTTGGATTCGACAATGAAATCGGAAGTGAATGTTTTAACATCTTCGATAATCAGCTCTTGTATACCGAATAACTTGGTAATGTTGTCTTGTAATACTGTATTCTGCTTTAAACCATCCAAATACGCAAAATTCTTACCAAGTTTTACTACAGTTGGTGCCGTTTCCTTCAAATAATATGCAAATGATGACTGCCGCGGGGGCAAAAGGAAGCAATGTGAACGTTTCCCAAATTTCCTGTCTATTAGGTTGGACATCGCATAATTCGCATCCTATTTCTGTTTGGGCAAAGCTAAATCTAAATAAAAAAAAACTCACTTTTACTCAATAGGTCAACAAGAATTGGAAGGCAGGCGTGTCCCGGTCATGGCTAGTGGGAAGACATTGCCATCTTTTAAGGCGTACGACACATCACCAATGACCGGTGGATATGTCGGTGGGAGATTTTTGACTGGTGTAAACCCTCAGGTCGAATTTTATAGATTATACTTATTGTCGGGCAAAAGTTCATGCATTCAAACAAAAGCAATTACGTTTATCTTTATAGGAGTACTTTTTCCATTGTATGGCCGGTCGTGAAGGGTTAATTGACACAGCCGTCAAAACCAGCAGATCTGGCTATTTGCAAAGATGCCTCATAAAGCATCTAGAAGGTCTTATTGCCAATTACGATGGCACCGTTCGAAACAACAGTGACGGATCGCTAATACAGTTTCATTATGGTGAAGATGCCTTGGATGTCACAAAGCAAAAACATCTTTACAAGTTTGACTTTGTAGCTGAAAACTGGAAAAGTTATAATACCAAGTATGGTTGTAAAGCGTTGGAAAAAGAAGCTGCACAAACGAGACGAGTACGAAAACTTAACAAGAAGGCTCTGGAGAATCCTAATAAGTACGATCCTGTAATATCTAATTCAGAGATGTTCCCATATAGCACACTTGGATCCGTGTCTGAGCATTTTGAATCAAGTCTTCAGAAGGTGAGTCTAAAGGTAACATGGTAAAGTGTTTGGAAACAGTTTTTACTCCAATAACTCAAATTTTGTAGTTTATAAAAAACAATAAAAAACTTGTCGGTAAAAAAGATGAAGATAAACCAGGAAGAAAGCTTTTCGGTTACATAATGCATAAGAAATATCAGCAGAGTCTTGTTGAACCGGGCGAGGCGGTTGGTCTGTTAGCCGCTCAGGGTATCGGCGAACCTTCGACACAGATGACTTTGAACACTTTTCATTTTGCTGGCTTTGGTGCAAAGAACGTGACTCTGGGTATTCCACGGCTGCGAGAGATTTTAATGGTTGCATCGACTTCGATAAAGACACCAATGATGCGACTACCGCTAAAGACCGGTGTTGGTAAAAAGGAGGCAGAGAAATTTCCCACAACTTTAAGTAGGTTGACTTTAGCAGAACTTGTCGATGAAATTGTCGTGACCGAGAAAACAGATAAACGAAGGCTCGGGAGCAGCTGGAAAAAAGTTTATAATGTTAGAATGAACTTGTTTCCCAGTGAGGAATATGTGGATGAATTTGACATTTCTCCGAAGCAGGTGGAAAACGCCATTGGATCCCGGTTTATTACAATGCTTCGCGCTTCGGTAACAAAGTTCCTTGAAAGAAAAAAGAAAAAAGATGCAGGTTTGTATAATAAGATAGTGAGCTTCTTTCTAAAACTTTTTATCAACTTTTGCTGACATCTGCCGACCGCATAATGCAGATATTGGCAAAGCCTTGAAATTTACAGAACCAATTACGGACGAAATTACGGATGACGTTGTTCCAGCACAAAGCCAGCCTGGGGATGGTGCGTTGTTGCTGTTGCGTTTGCTGTTTGCTGTTGTGTTGTTCGTTTTGCGTTCGCATTTGATGTTAACATTTGATTTCTTTCAGAATCCGATGATTGTGATGGTGATGCAACCGCGTCACGCATGAATTCAAGACGCAAACAGATGGTATCGTACGATGAGCCCGATGAAGATGATATGGAAATAATAGTTGAATCTGATGAAATCAATGAGAAAGATGATAACAATGTTGCAGAAAAAGACACCGACGGTGCGTCATCTAAAAAACAGTCGAACTCACGAAGTGGGGGTATTTTAACTATCAGTCATAAGTTTGATAATGTGAACGGTGAATGGTGTGAGATAGACGTCCAGGTAACGAAAAAAATTAAGTTGACTCATTACTGGGAATTATATATTCAAAGTTTTTACGAAATATGCTTTT